CACAAATGAAGAAAAAAAACCCCAAGTATTTTGTCAACCGTAGCTCCGCTAGAAGTTTCTGGAAGCGAGCTCTCCCGTACCCTATAATTAATCAAGCCAGGGTTTGACCCTTGTACCCTCCGCGCAGCGTCCTGACCTCCCATCACCCCTAACGTGTCCAGGTATGCTCAGACGTCCGCGGGATAATTACCTGACCCTTTGGCTAGTCTGGCCTCACATGAACCACGCTCCGATGGCACTGGGCTATTCGTGCGCTGGTATTTCAACTCTTCTGCTTAACTCTTTCACCTGGAGAAAAGTCATAGAGAACGATATATAGAAAAAAGTCCTGGAAGACATGGAACAATAGCAAGGATGGGGTAAGGTGCAGAGTGTTTGTTCGTGGCCCTTGCCCTGATGCTTGGCGAGAAAGGCAGTGAAGATGATGATACTTATCTCTTCAAGAACGTGGTCGACTTGAAATAATATAATTATGTCCGATTAGCAGCAGACCAAAAGCAGTGTCGGGGGCATATTATTTATTTTGTATAGCATGCAGGTTTTACCTGCCTTTTAAAAAAAACTGTTTCAGGTATCGAAGACAGAATGAACGAAAAAAAAATCTGTATGAATAGCGAATTAGGCTTCTGTTTAAAAGAAATACCCCTAAACCTGCGCGTCTTCAATCGTTGTCCAGTGATCAAAATACGCGTCCCCAAAGAGTTAAGAGACCTGCAGGAACTCTGACGCGAGAGAGCTGCGTTCCTGGCATGACGCTGAGGCATCCGAGTGCAGCAGGATGAACCCGACGTCAACGAGCCGCCGCTGTTGCTTCGACCTCTCCAGAATCTGCGACTTATTGGCGTTACAAAAAGGCGATGCGACACTCGCAAAGATAATATACTTAAACTGACGACGTTGTGTCGGTACAATGCAGTTTAGAGGTGTATCAGGGAGGAGAACCTGCAGCCTCCATGAATACAATGTGATGCATATTTTCTCATCCATCTAATCCCATCCCCAGTGTATTTGAGATGTGGTTTCTGCTTCCATATGGATTTTTGGGGGAGATGATTTTTTCAGAACCCCCGCCTCTCCCTCCTTCCCTCCCTCCCCCTCTCTCTCTGTCTCTCTCTCTCTCTCTCTCTCTCTCTCTCTCTTTCTCCTTCTTCTATTTTCTAGTGTAACCCTTCAAAACGGAATGCTATTGAAACAGTTTATCTTTAAAAAGGCTAATTAATCAGTATGCCTTAGTTTCCGACGTTTTATTTTTATATGGTCTTTATAATAACCCTAGAGGCTTAACCTACGACTCCAAATCCAACCAAGTAACATGAATTCCACTTATATTTCTCCTCTGAAGGGAAAATGTTGAAAAGAATGCAATGTGTCTCTACACAATAAGGTCATAATATAAGTGCCGGAGATAAGAGGTGTTACAAGAGAGTAACAAGCACAAAAGGCCGTAGATGTTCGATAGGAAAGAAGGAGCAAACCAGACCAGAGCACCCTCCAACCACCCACCAATGTGTCTGTGGATACCTCTGGCATTCCAGGAAGTCAGTGAACTATCGAGGAGGCAAACCGAATCCTGCAATTATTGAAACACGTCAGACAATGGTCCCGTGGTTTAATCGACGTGTGTACAGCGCGACTCTTGTTTCTCAGTTTGAACTTATCCACCATGGCATGTTTTCATTGCGCGTATCTGTACTTTTCATCTTTCTTGGTTCGTTTTTTTTTTCTTTGTTTGTTTTTTTATATTTTAATTTCTTGCTTTATAGGGGTGGGGTGGGTTGGTCTGTTTGTTGCCGTTTTAATTTATTCCTGTGGTTGCTGTTATTTTTATTTGGTTATTTGTGTGTGTTTGTGTGTGTGTGTGTGTGTGTGTGTGTGTGTGTGTGTGTGTGTG